TCTAATAAGATTCCAGGATATTTCTAGAGATGATTTTTTTGATAAGATTGAACCATACAATATGCTTTTTCCTAGGAATTTATGGAAACCCCTTTTACAATCTTATATAGCTCCTGGTAGACAACAAACATTGAATTTATTACCATCAAGAAATTCAAAACTTGAATCAATGACAATCAACCGAAATCTTACTTTGCTTTTTGCAAATTGGATTGATAGAAAAAATCCACCATACACTTCATTCAGGAAAGTCAAATATGAATTCAAACTTCTATATCGCAGTAGTAGAGATGGTTTAAATGAAATTACATTCCATCAAAAATGCGATAATATCAACAAAACCCTTGTAGTTGGCAAAAAACGAAATTCAGAGCAAATATTTGGTGGTTATAATCCACTTAGTTGGAATGGAAGTGAACATAAGAAGACAACTGAAAGTTTTATTTTTAATATTAGAAATAGAAATGATATTAATAGTGCACTAATTAGTTATGTTATTAATAATGATTACAATAATGCAATTTATTGTAATCCTACTTATTTACCTACTTTCGGATGCATTGGTGATATTTGGTTTAGTGTAGATAGTAGTGTTTATTGTAGTCCAAGAAGGACTTATGACAACATCAATATAGTAAATGGTAAATTCGATGAATTAGAAATTTATCAAATAATTGATAAAAAATAAATTTTTTTTCATTCACTAATTAATTAGCAAATGAATTGGTACTGTCGGAATTATGCTCCAAAAACCTTAAAATAGTCCCCAAAAGGCACAAGATACCTTCAGTTTCTGGCCTTTTCTGTTTGATTTTTACTATTATTATTAGATAATTTCATCGCCCCAACCGTGCGAAATGAACCAATTTTGAAAGAAAAAAAGATTATCATTCTTTCACACACTCCCATTTGAAATTTTTCAATTAATATAATAATTGGACCTCGGATGAATATATTAAATCCTACATAGTGAACTCAGGTGCTGGATTTAATAGAACTACCCTTCCAATTCCCATGCAAGTACCTTCCCACTATCTTTTAGTGATGACATTTCAAGGAGGACGATGAGCTTGATACACAGGAGGATTTGATTGGCACTCTTTGAAAAATAGAGAGAGTCCAGATCCAAATGCAAAACTCGGTGGTTTCTCAACTTTATACGTTACTCAGGGACTCCTTTTGAGGAATATGGGGTCATATTAACATTTCTTGCAAAAGGATGATTATAATGTTTTAATATCTGAGCCTAAGAATAATTTAATAATAATGAGTTGTTAAACAATAACGAAATAATGTAAGTTTTGACATAGATAACAAGGAATTCGATATATCAAATGAATTGGAAACATCTAAGCGTTTTAGTTGATGCTGGATATTTTGCCTTTGTGTATGTAAAACTTGTACTAAATATTCTATTCTCATTTGGTTTCACTAATGCGTGAATTAGATAGCAGAAAATGGCAAGTAGCAAAAAATAAAAGTAGAATAAAATAAATGAATAGATTTAAAATCGTAGCAAGTTAAATGATTGAACAAATGAACGTATAGTCGTTTTTATGTTACTTTGACGTAAATATATGAAGGAATTGTACTAGCTAATTATCTTGATTTAATAAAGGTATTTCACTTTTTTTGAAATAATAGTTTTTCTATAAATATGTTTTCCACTCGAATTATAAAACATTTCACTTTATTGCAAATGTATTCATAAAATATCTCTCGCATTTATTTATTTGATTTTATCATACAAATTTTAATGACAAATTATTATTAAAACCAATTCATTTCTTCAAATCACTTGGTCGACAATGAAGATGTAGTAGGGCAATTGGCTCTTTCGGTATTTTTTCTATTTCAATCTAGCAATATTATCATGGAATATTGTTCTATAATCATCTTTTTTTTGTTCATTCTTTCCATTTTTTTTCCTCGAATAACCGCAACGATTATTCTTTTACAAAAATTTCCATTTTAATTACTGGTAATCACCTTTAGAAGGTGCAGAAGCAAAGAAGTCACAGCCGAAACATTGGCAACTGAAAATTTTCAACCAAGTGTTTGTAGCTGAGGCTGAAGAAACTGCAGCCGAACTATATAGTAGTTGATTTTGGACTGCTATCCTCGGGCTTTTCCGTCTTCATTTTCTTCATCCTTTTCAAATTCTTTGGAGATTTCTTTTTGATAATTTCTTCTTGATTCCTTCTTTTATGAATAAAGTTTGGGTAATTCTGCAATGATTTCTTTAAAACATATTTTGTTTCATAAAAATATACTGAAACTGCGCCTAAAATACCAGTTTTCTCTATATTGCCATTACAATGATCCTTGCTATTATCACTATTATTGTGGCCATGGCATTCGTAATTATTAGCTGTCTTATTATTAAAATTATCAGTATCACCATTATTATTGAGTTACAATTAATAATACTATTATGATCAAGATCACGATTATTTTTTCCTTTATCATCATTTCCATAATTATCACAACCACTATCTCCTTCATGTTTCTCACCCCCATTCCCACAGCCACACCTGACACTAACCAATTTAGGCGTTTGATCTATCTTCTGAAAAATTGAGGGAATTAAAGTAAAATCTTTTTCCTGCCTTGTCCACGAATGAATCTAGTGACGCGGAAGAAGAAACACGGGTGAAATAGTGATCTTGTATATAGATCAGAACATTCGTCAACATACACATTTGCTACGTACGGTCTCCAGACTGATGTTGCAATCCAACTCAGGCTGATAGCATAGTGTGTACCAGATGCAAATACTATTTATAACCATAGACGATATATTTTTATAATAAATTGATTGCTAATCTCTAAAATATTAACAATAATCGATTACCTATAACGTTTCTCTCGGGTCAATTTATTAACATAATATGAAAGTAAAAATCCATTCCTTACAACCTACCATTATTATCAATAATACGTATATACTATATATATCACCATTAATTATATATATAATACCACCATAACCTATAATTCATCGAAATTCTACTTATTTAGCCTTATTGATGGTAATTATATATAGTCTCATCCAATATTGTTGATCGGTTAATTTCTATACCAACTTTGATAATTCATTATTTTATTTTTTTGTGAAAAAAACAAATTTAGCAAAGAATGGGAATAGAATAAAATTAGACGAAAATAATGATCCGTAATTAACCACCTCGGGAAATTTAAATTAACAATCTAATTCAAATAGAAATAGAGTAATTTATTTTTCTCTAATTATTGATGAACCGATTTATTTGGTTAAACTTCGGGACAATTAATGAGTTTTTTTGTATGTGTATGAGCAAAAAAAAAATTAAAATCATATGATAAATTAATGATAAATGAAGATGATCTTGAGGATTATTTTTTTTTCTTTTAACTATATTGATAAACTATAAATTGAATTCATTATTCATCATATTCATATTGATCATAGATAGTCACCTGCTTATAAACAAAATGGATGAATAAATTATTTCTTTAAATAAAGTGATTTTTTCCGTTTCTCATTTTTTTTTTCAAAAATTTATTTAATTTGAAACTTTTCACAAATTGCCCTTAATTTAACCCCCCCCCATTCATCCTCTTCTCCTCTTCTTTTTCTCGTTCCAATTGCATGCATTCCACCCCAAACATCACAATATTCTGAATTTCATTCTCCCGATACGAAAGTGCATTCATTTCCAAAAATTTTAAAACTTTGTTATTAATCACTCCATCCACTCATTCATAATAATCAACTTCAGTAACTTTCATCATAATGGGCGGTGAAAAGATATACAAAAATGTAGTAAATGATGATGACGATTATGATAATGATGATTATGAAGATGATGAACTATCATACGTTGAAGAATATTGGACGGAAAATAGTGTTGAAGATATTATCGTTGAGGATGCCACTGATGCTGATGATAGCAATAGTAGTGATAATAATGGAGCAACATCATCTAAATCAACGATTTCCCATGAAAAACTGGCCGAAGATGCTTTGAAAACATTAAAGGCGGTTGTTAGTGAAAGTGGTTGGACAAAAGAATTAACTCATAGAAGTGGTGTCAATGTCTACTCTAAAAATAAAAGTAACATGCCTATATACATGGGTACTCATGAAATCAACGGATTTGATCCTCAAGCTGTGTTTGCAGTAATTGGGATGAGAAAACTTTGGGATGAATGGTAAATTTACATTTTTGACAAAATTAATTTGATTGGATGGATGAAATTAATTAATAAAAAACCAACTAATCAATTATTCTTTAGGTACGAGGAGGGCAATCTTGTAGAGAATTTAAATGATACAACAAGTTTAACTTATATGGTTTTGCAAGGTTTAAGCGGATCAAAGTAATTGATTGACGTTTTTTTATTATTTTAATTTTTTTTTTTTAATATAAAAAAAATTCCTAAAATGTTCCCTTGCCCACAATCCAATTAGACCACGAGACTTGTCATTGGTGGAAAAGATAGAGTGTACACGTAATGGATCGATTTACTTTGTAGCAAAATCGGTACAGACCGACAAAGTTCCAAAAGTAGCTAATAGAGTCAGAGCATACATCCATTTGAATGGATGGGTTCTCGAACCAATATCAATCAACCCACCAAAAACAAAAGTCAGCTATGTACTACAAACTCAAATTAAAGGCTGGATTCCTGTATTTGTTGCTAATAAATATTTATCAAAACGTCCTTTAATCCTAAACACTATTGATAAGTATTTGCAAAAAAATGGTCCACCTCCAACGCTTATCGGTTCTACACCACCTCGTTCTCGGTCTCCATCATTTTCTGTCGATTTATCATCCACTGAGTCTAGACCTTTATCTTTATCGACAGCTGAAGATAGTGTTGCAACTACGAATACAAGTGATATTCTTAGTACTGATAGTAGTATTGGTAGCAGTAGTAACGTTCAACAGGCGACGAAATATCGTAGAAGTTCACAAAGGATTTCCTTTCCTGAAAGTGATGTTAGCATAAAAATGAATTTGATTAATGAATCTGCCGCTTTCAAATCAATCAACATCAATGGCGCTGATAAGAATTATAACGTTTCATCAACTATTATAAAAAGATCATCAAATAGATTATCAATTACATATAGCAATACTACTGATGATGATCAAAATAAAAATGAAGAATCCAAACAACTTGAAAATTTTAATGAAAATATTGATTATTCGGAAATAAATTCACAACATGAGAGAAATAAAAGTCGTACTAATCGCGAATCCTTATCTCATCAAGATAAACTAAAATTACAACCTTTACAACCTTCTAAACAATCAACTAATGTTGATATTGCTAGTATCAGTAATGATAGTTCTTTAGAAAATACAGATTCTCCTACTTTGCCAAAAGGTTTCGCACCATTCAGACAAGATGATGACGAGAAAGAAGAAGATGAATATGACAATGATCAAAAAGAAAATATCAAGGAGATCATTGCTGAAGATCTTCAAGAAGAGATCATAACTCAACAAAAGGATGTAGCTTCCTCTTTTTCCATCTCAGACCAATATAGCGAGGAACAATCGCAACCATCATTAAAAAAATCAAAAAAAAGTTCATCGTCCTCAAGAAAGAAACATAATCACAAATCTACTTCTCAACCAATAGATAATCCATCATCATCATCCAAACTATACCCTGCAATATTAAAAAACAAGAAAACTCATCGTCATACCAACGCATTGAAGAAAGCCCTTGATAAATTTAAATCAGAATCATCTAGCTTGCAAGGTTGGAATTTATATTCTGAAAATAAAGGATTCAAGATTTATATGAAAGATGTTGTTGGTAAATCTACTCCATTAATACGTGGTGAAATGGCTATCACTGGTGGTTACACTGCTGAAGATGTCTATGCCATTGCTTACAGTTTAGACATGAAAAAACTTTGTAAGTAGGGGTTTGTGCACTTGAAGCACATTATTAAAAAAAAAATTGAAAATTTTTAAAATCAACTTTTTTAAATCTCTTTCACTCTCACTCTCACTCTCTCATAATATTTAAAATATAGGGGACGATCGATATGAAGGAGGGGAAATAATTGAGTTTTTGAATGATTATGATTGTCTGGTAAGAGTAGCAATGAAGGGCACATTTCCAGTCAGTGGCCGTGACATGTCATTGGCTGGTATGCTTGATCGTGAGGAAGGAACAGGGATAATTCGTTACGTAACAGTCTCAGTAAACGATCCATTAATACCACAGAGTAAAAGACATGTTAGAGCAGATTTACATTTTGCTGGCTGGGAATTTATTCCAACTTATTTTGATTCTAATCCTAACAGGATCAAATCAGTCTTTTGCAAATATATAGTTGACATTGATATTAAGCTGGCCACTGTTCCCTCCTCCATACTAAAGCAATTTTCAGTACAAACACCAATAGTAGTTTTGAAAATTAATGAATTATTGCACAAAATTGGTTATCCGCCTTACATGTTACTGGAATCATCCTCTTCTACAGCCTTATTACCTGACCAATTGGACATTAAGACTTATGATTACGTGACAACTATCAAAGCGTTTCCTGGTTCTATTGCAGAAATTAAATTTTCCAAGTTAATGTATCCAAATGGATTCGATATATCATTTGAATGCCACAATGATAATGACGTTAAGGTTGAATTATTAGCTAATGATTCGGAAATTATTCGTATAACTGTTACATCACCATCATCACTACCACCGACATCGTCGTTGTCGTCATTGTCGTCGTCATTGTCGCAATCTGATAAGTTAAAGATTAAAATAAAAAAGAATGCTGATACTAAAGGTTATAAATTAACTTATAATAATGGCGAAAAAATTATTCCTGTTGTCCCAAAAGAGAAAATTTCCAAGACAAACAAAGAAAAAATTGATAAAGAAAGACTCAAAAGTAGCAATAATCATGATGATAGAATTAAAAATAAAAACATTAACAGTGATAGTAGAATACTTACTAAAGATAAAGATAATAATATTAATAAAGTTGAAGAGCCATCGCCAAAAGAAAATAATAGTGGTGACGATGATAACGATGATATTATCGATACTATTAGTAATAATAAGAATAATCTAGATTTAGATAATGATAAAACACTTGTATCAAAAAATATTGACATTATCAATAAAATTAATGATGATAGCGATAGTAACAATGATAAGAATAAACAACAACATAAAAATAGAAAATCTGTAACATCAATATCAAGAATTTCAATTAGTGAACAGACATTTATTAAACAAAAAATAAACAGCAGATCTTCACTAAAATCTGTGACTACTACAACTACCGATTTTGGAAAGAAAATATTAAGTGCCGACAATATTGGAACAACCAGTAATGTAAGTTAATCCTAATTTATTATGATTTTGCTCGGATGGATTTGATTTGGCCCGAAACCAATACTAATAATAACACCGTTTTATAAATTAGATTACTAAATACAACTCTGTACCAGCTATATCATCACCTTTATGGAATGATGAAATAAATAATTCACAAATTGAAAGGAAACCACTTTTAAACCTTAACAATACTAATAAAAGTGTTGTTAGCGCCAATACCAATGCTATTCTTAATACTGACACTAACAACAACACTGTTACAAATATCAACACTAATAATGCTGTTAATGCTGTTGCTACTAGTGATAAAGGATTCACAAAGATTATAATTGAGTTCAATACACAACAACTTGTTATGATGATTTTATCAATGGCAATGTCTTATTATGCTGGAAAACTTAGTAATTCCTGCTAATAATGGTAATGGTAATGATAATGATAATGATTTTTTTTTAGTTTTTTTGGAAAAAAAAAGATTTTAAAATTATTTATTTAATTTTTCATTAATCCTCTCTCATTAATTCCCTCATTAATTTTCTCGTTAATTTATTTTTAATTCAATTATATATATATAGATATTTGTTTATTTATTTATTTTTATTTATAAAATTATTTATTATTTAATAATAAAAAATAAAATTAATTTTAATAATAATAATAGTTTGGCGAGTTACTAAAAATTTAGCGTTAATTGTCAATAATGGATAATTTTCCAAGTGTGTTGCTCTTTTTCAAACGAAGGTTGAGAAACTTTTAATTATCGACCCATTCCATCATCTGCACATGTTCAGTCCATAAAGAAAATGTTGTTTGAATAAATGAATACACAATGGTAATTTTTTGTTTCCTTCTTACTATATATTAAATTTTTGTTTTGATATTTGCACTATTTGCACTATCTGATGCAAAAGCCATTAATTTTCTCGAAACATTTAAAAAATCATTTCATCAATTTAATCAATTTAATGAATATAAAACTTAATATTTTATGAATGGATTCCAAATGGGGTTTAATTTATGTAAATTCAACAAGATCGACTAATTGACACTTACCGATTGGCAAACCACTAGTCTTATAGAGACGGTTGTTTATGGTTTCAAATGTGATTCTTCAATAAGCGTAAATGAACTTGATCTTATATATTGAATTTTATTGTTTATGACTTTTTCTTCTTGTCTTTTAATGATAAATAACTTAACTTATGAAATGTGTACAAAGTAACTGCATCTTTAAATTCACTTGAAAAGCGCGCGTGTGAATTGGTTATCAAAACCTTTTTATTCGACTCTGTGTTTTAACTAATTCGGTTAAAGCTGAATCATCATCATTATCAATGAAGGCAAGCATTATATATTGCTAAAATATTAATATTTTCACAAATGTTTGATCTCACCAGAAAAATAAGTAAACCCTGTTTTATAGAGTAATTGCTGGAAAAACCAGGTAAAAAGTAGAATAGTCTAAAATAAAATCTAACGTTGTATGAACCAATTAAGAAGGCCAGAATTTTCTGATTGAGAACAGGTACTGCCACGGTGAATTCACTTGCAAGCCCTACATAATTGTATGTATAAAGGTTTGTTTTCCACTTAAATCTGATCCCGTTAACATAAATTGATCATTGAATTTATTGTTGCACGGCGCGGGTTTGGTGATTATATTGGATGACAATAATAATAATAATAATAATAATCAAAGTTCAAAAGAGTCACCTATCTTTCCGCTGTTCTTGAATATAATCGATCCTTCTAGAAAGTTGAGATGTTCAAGTAATATTAGTCCAGTTGGCCTAATTTTTGTATAATTAATTAATTGATTATACTGATATTGTGCCTATTTCTATTTTTTTTTTGCCAAATTCGGGACAGGTTAAAGTTAAAAATATTTATGAATTTTGTTTATTTTGATAACATATTATTTAGTAAGCATGCAATCGGAACCATCCATCAGTTTTTCTATTTAATTGTAGAGTATATAGACATTCAGTACTGTACTTTTTTGCATTCCTGTCTACAAAATAGAAATTTTCTTAAAAAAGTCATACATCAACATACAGTACACAACCTATCAAATGGATTCTGTACTCGTATTTAATACAGAAATGCTGATTTGGAGATCATACAGTACTGAATGTCTACCGACTGTCAGTTGTATTGGTGAATATTTTATTTCTAGAAAAAGGTGTAAATATGTGAATGCTCAAGATCGTACGGCATGTGATTGACGGAACTCTTGAGTATCCATATGTTTGGACCCTTATGGACGATGCACATTTACATTCTGATCGAGACGCTTTTTTGGTTAATGACTATTGAATTTGGTTGCATGAAAAAAAAAAAATATATACTTCTATGAGAATTGAAGACATTACTACATTACCAAATACGATCATGTAAAATTAGTAAATAATAATATTATTATTTTAACATCTTTTCGCCATTTATTTCTACATTAATTGAGCTCTTATAAAAACGTATTTGATACTTTTGCACATGTAATAGAAGTATTATCAGATATATGGATTGCCATTGATATAGAAATTTTATACCACCAAATGAACACAATGAATATCTTGCAAGCTATTTATCAAAATATACAAATTAATAAATGATAATAAATATATACATATGCCTACTTTTATCAATGATAGGTATTTTCACTGTAAAAATAATACTCGTTATTTTATTTCAATTCCATAATAATAAACGTAATATATTTCTGGAAAAAATGCGGAATTTTAAAACCCTGATCATTTTTTTATGGGGTTTGGTGTTTCTTATCGAAGATTGTGAGAGAGTGAATCCTTATTTTCGTGATAAGATATTCTGCAGACTCCAGCAAAGGTGCGAAGAGTTATGCCACCAATGTTGACCGCAACTATTCCAGTTAATTTATCAGATTCGTGAGTTTCTTGAGGATCAGAAATAATAGATTGCCTGCAGATTCTGTGGAAAAAATATTTCCCGCAAATAATTTATATACAACTTGCTGCTCCTCTGATAAATTGCAGGTGAATCAGATGAAAGATTAGGCGATCCATTCAACCTATTTGATTCGTAAATTTTGGTTTTTTTTTTGTCATTATTTTCTTATCGGTTATCATATTTAGTATTTTCCATAGAGTTTCTAAATTTGTACTAATTATACGATGAATTTTTTTTCATACCGTGGAGTCAATTAATTAAATAACTAATTATACATCAATTGAAGGCAAAAAGGATAAACCGAAACTGTACCCTCAAAATTTAAAACATGAAAACTCATCACAACAAAGACATTTAAAAATAAGAAATATCTTTATATTGACAGCCATATATAGATTGCCAGTATATTGCAACAAGCCATAATGGCGAATTCATTGTAACTTTTAGTTTTAATAATTTCATTAATATAATTAATTAATATTAATATTACAGTTACATTCACCATATCAGCTGATTTGGTTTTTTGGACCCTTTTCTCAAATCTTATATCCTATTGTGCCTTGACGTTAAACACGAGTATTTTTAATGTGTAAACTGGTCAGTAGAATGATAACCCTAAAAAAATTTACTTGACCCGCTAAAAAAACTATTTTACTATTCAATATCCCGTCAAACCAATGGCCCCACCTCAAAACCAATCCGTTTTTGCTAGTATAAAGTATTCATAACGTTATGATCATACCGTACTGAATTTTGGGTTCAAGCAAAATCAGCGCATATGCAAGACAGAAAATATCAAAAAATCTTTTCCGATCAATAATAATATTCAAATAGATGCAAATGCATCAGTTTTTCAAACAGATTTATGGTGGTCTCAAATGCCATAAAAATTGATGATATATTAATTGCTCTGTCATGTTTTGAAGGTAAAGACATGAAGTCATCCTCATTCTCCACAAATGATTACTAAAAAGGTGACGGTGTCTTGATTGAGTCAAGTACCTGGGTATTTTCTGCTGTCTATGATAAACAAATTCAAACAGCTATCGACAATATCGGTGGTGTTGTAAGATTTTTAGATAATGTTGTTTTACCATATTCATTTCATTCAGATAAAGGCTCGGATTCAAATCTTAATTAGAATTGATCTCGATGAACTCCTTAGTGATATATAAATCAATTATTTATCCACAACTTAAATATAGAATTCCAAAAGTCCATTTTTTACAATTAATACAAAGAATTTTTATTTCCTCCAACAAGCGTCTAAAATAGATCCGAGAAACGCTCGCCCTGAGCATAATAACTTATTTGCGCATAGTATAATTTTAGAGATGCGTACCGTTTTACCTCAATTTCATTTGGATGTGCGTTTATGAGAATCATAAATTTTATGGCTTAGGTGTGCAGATTAATCTTTTATTTTTTCTGATTTTTTTTCTTAAATATTAGATATTTTTTTATTCACTTCATTCACATTATAGCTTTTGAAAAGTATTCAATAATGTATAAATTTATACACAAAAGCGAAAACATAAGGAATCACTGGACAATAATTAGATAAAAAATACGTGAAGGTTTTGATCTAAACTGGTTACGAATATGCTCTCGGCTTGAACAAGTGAAGATAGTAATGAAAAGGTGACAATGTTTTGCAGCTAGTGCAAAAATGCAGAAAGAAAAATGTTTTCACAACGGGTACACAATCATACCGAAAGCCAACAATTGAACGGCATATAGATATTGATGATCATAAACTTGTTACATTAGCTTATTTATGTGAATTATATGTAAAATTATTGACAGTACATTAGTTTGCTAACAGTGTGTGGTCAACGCACTTTAATATGATACAATGTGTTAGTACCATACATAATTTTGATCCCCGTACAAAGTTGATACATATACAGTAGTTTACACACTGTAACCTAGTGATTTTATTACATAAATGCGTTCCAATTATTAAAGTATCAGCGCTTTTGTCATAAATTCGAGATTCTCTTTATCTCATTATGAGGGCATGATTGCTAATTTAAATTTAAATGTTATCACTTTATATTTGGTCAAAATGGGTACAGCAGGAAAATTTTATTACAAGTCATCCAAAGCAATTTTTTATGTCATATGAAATTATAGGGAAATAGGCAGGGTTAAATCGCAATTGATATAGAAGGTTTGTGATCTTTTCCATTTAAATAACATTCTAAAGACTCTGCTTATTAGTATTGACAGAAATTTATCGTTAACATTTTTTCACAATTACTTGATTCAGATATCGGAATCATCTGATTTTTTTCCTGATTGTTGAAATGCTTCCATCCGGAAAATATAAAAAAATTTTACACGTGTCAATTGTAAGTTTAATAATAAAAAAGTGTAAAACTTACGTCGGCACTGTAAGATTTACACAATATTACGTCGGCATTGTAAGATTTATGCAAGTTTACGCTAAATTAATTTCCTGATGTCTTCATTTACTATACCCGAAAATAAACCTTCATTCATTGATCCGTGAATTAATTCTAATCAAAGTACATGTTGCGAATTTCTAAATAATTGTTATCATGATCACCATTATTGTTATCAATATTAATATAACCATTATGATTATCACTTTTATCATCATCACTTCTAAACTAATTTCTACTTCAACCCTTTTCTGATAAAGTCTGGCCAGTATGTTTTAAATTTTTTTTAATATTGCCTAGATTAAAAAAAATCAATATTATTTACAGAATTAATATTTAGATTTTGACAATTCTTTCCATAAAGTCTCCTTAAATATGAAAAAAATGCGTTCACATTCACCATTATGTTGAATAATTTAGCGGCTAATTGTTGTAGTTGTAGTTCATGACGATTGGGAAGGAATTGGCGAATTAGGATTTGACATCATGAATTCAATTGGTTTTTTTTGTCATTCTAAGTAATGTAGATGGACCCATCTCAACTAAATGTCTATGCCATTAAATTCTGCATTAAAATTTCAGACGTAAAAATGAATGCTAAGAGAAATTTTTTTTAGACGGTTGACATCACTACATCAAACCAATGGCCCCCACCTCAAAACCAATGGGTTTTTGTTAGTATAAAGTATTCATACCGTTATGATCACACCGTACTGAATTTTGGGGTTCAAACAAAATCAGCGCATATGATCTTTTTAATTTTAACGATGCAGTACTGTTTAATGTACCCCGGAGTGGAGTGGTAATAGTAAGGGTATTAAAAATACCCATTTCTATCTATCTATCGTGTTTGGATCGACTGTTCACCGCTTGTTCCGGTTGATTTGAGTTCATTTTAAGCGACTTTCATTAAGAACAAATTGCCAAATTATCAGCACTGCTACCACCGCAAAATTGCTTTCAATTATTACACCAATTAATTCATTTGCCTTTTATTATTATTTTTTTTAATACTATTATTATTGTTATTATCATCATTGTCATTTTCTTTTTAACAAAAATATTTTCTTCGTGTTCTCTTTTAATCATCTTTTTCCTCGTATTTCTTTATATATATATATCTTTCTTCTTTTTCTTTAACTTTGGAAATAAAATCACGTGATTTACCATCATTTTATATTTTTCATATATACAAAATCCAAGTTGCATACAATGGGCTTCCATATAAAATAATAATGATAGAAGCTGAATATTTCCAGACTAAATATTTATAACCTTTAAGTAACGAGAATTTTGTCAGTGTAATTATTTGCATAATTATTATTTTCTAATTCAATATAGTGAAGATGGTGGTAGTTTGCTCGTTTTGGATTAAGGGATCGACCAATAAATGTCTAATTTTATGAATTAAATAATTATGAGCTGTTAGAAATCAAAATCAAATATTAAATGCTTTCAATTCTGATTTCTACTTTCTGGTCAAAAAAAGTTAGTTTTTTCGTCGTCCTTATTAAATAATTAATATTATGCGTACATACTACCAACACAACTTTAATTCAATTATCTAATACGAAAATCCGGGCTATTACCAAAATGTAATAGTAGTGATGATAACGTTCATTCTTAAAAAAAAAAAAAAAAAAAAAAAAAAAAAAAAAAAAAAAAAAATTTATTTTAACAATTCTAAATCCAAAATTACAAAAAAAATTTGATATCAATGAATCGTAAAAATTTGCATCCGTTAGAAATGCATTCAAATAAGAAGGAAGAAAAAAACAAAAATAATAACAAAGGAGAAAAGGATGATGATTATGACGATGATTTGACACTTGAGAATTTTAAAATTATTGATGGTAGAAAATTTATTAATATTGAGGAATCTTGTGAGTTTTTGCCTGTTGATCGCAAGGTAAATTGTAAGTTAATTAATTGTTAACTTCTCAAAACTTTCTAAAACTTCCTATTATTTATAGTCAATGTCTAAAATGGAAATTTTAGAAATTTTATCACAACATATATGGAATGGTAAATTTTCTTCTCCTGTGAAAGAAAAATTAGAGAATGGTGGTGCATCTGTAATAGATATTGGGTAAATTGGTTGATTTTAATAAATAATCAAACTTCTCCCATGACAATCTAATAATTATAAATTAATTATAATTCTTTCAGATGTGGGCCTGCAACTTGGTTGATGTTTATGGCAGAGGAATTTCCAAAATCATCATTTGTTGGAATAGATATAGTAATTGATTCTAAAAAAGAATTGCCAACAAATCTGGCTATAATTGAACATAATATATTTGATGGTTTACCATTTCCAAATGACACTTTTGATTTTGTTCGTCAAAAAAGTATGTTAGGTTCACTAACAACTGGTCAATGGCCTTTTGTAATTGATGAGCTGATACGTATAACTAAACCTGGTGGTTGGATTGAATTTATGGTGATTATAACAAAATACAATAATGAAAGTATGAGTTATATAATTAACTTTATTATTCATCATTATTATTATTAATATTAGGAAAGTGATCCCATGGCATGTTCCATGGGTCCAACGGCAACAAAATTTGTCACTGAACGTAAATAACCATTTAATAAGCTGTTTATGTTATTTTTAATGTTATTTATTAAAGCTGCTTAACAATTCTATCAATTAAATTATAGTTCTAAAATTACGCGAATCACGTGGTATAATAGTTGGACCATTTTATAAATATATTGAAAGAAAATTAATAACCACTGATAAAATAATTGAAATTAATCATCAAATGAAAAAATTTCCATTGGGTGGTCATGGTATAATTGGTGAAATGGTAAAATATATTAAATATATTAATATATTAATATTATTAATTTTAATAAATTAATATGATTGCAAATAGATAATCTTTATTATTTATATTATTCAATCATGTAGTTCAGACAAGTTATAACTGATTCAATAGAAACTATTAGACCTTATCTTTCATCAATTATGGGGTTAAGTTTAGAAGAATATGATAAAATGATTAGGCAATGTGATTTAGAAGATGTTGAGTATAAAACTTATCTAAAAAATTATAGGTGAATATTTCTAGTCATTCATTTCTCTCTCTCTCTATTCTATTTACTAATACTAAATAATATATTTATTATTTAGAATATATGGAAAGAAAAGATATGATTGAATTATTATATTAAAAATAACCTACAGACTATAATAAGAATCATAATCAATTATTCTTTTTGTAAATTTAAAATTAGGTTTAATCTTAATCTAAATTAATTAAGCTGCTACTAATAAGCAAAAATAAATTGTCATGTGAAGAGTGCGCATGACTTTTGGCCTAGCAGTTTATGTATGATATTGTGTGTTTCGCTTTTCATGTATTTCTTTTATATGTGTAGAAAATATTGCAATAATACTGATTATTATTTCCTGTTCACACCTTAGAAATAATAATATAAATAAATTAAACAAAATAAAATTAATGAAATAATCAATAATTAATTATCTATCCATCAACAATTCGTCCAACTTTCCAACCTTTCTCCTTTCAACCGCTTATTACTATTGTTGTTTTCGTTGTTTTTATTTAAATTAATAGATTTCAATTAATTAACCAACTATTTAATTTAACTTATTATAATTATATTTCATATTTAATAAGTTATCATTACTTAAATTCAATTTAGCAAATTCGTCATTTAATATTCTACTTGTATGATATGCTAATGGATGCGATTTGTT